AGTGGCAAAACAGGGAGGGTAAAGGGAGAATGGGTAGGAAAGAGGGAACCGATTACATGGAACTGTGTGTGACCTCCTCCCTGGGGGACAGGCAACCGAAAAGTGGGTGAAGGGAGACGTCGGACAGGGCAAGATATGACAAAATACCCATTTATAAACTATCAAGGGCTCATGCGGGAGGGGGGAGCGGGGAGGGAGGGGAAAAATGAGGACCTAATGTCGGGGGTTTATGCTGTGTGATCACAGGGAAAATTTTGAATCTCTGACTTTAATGTCTAATCAATTGTGGAAAATTTCCAAGCCATTATGTCTTCAATTACTGTTTTTCCATTCTTTCTGGAATTTTAATTAAAGGCAAGTTAGACCTTCTCATGGAAACCCGCCCCATTTTATGTGTCCTTTTCCTATATTTTGGTCTTTCTTCATTGTGGCTATTTTCCATGCTTATATTTTCCCAGTTCATAATTTTTCTCTTCAGCAGTGTTTGATTTGCTATTATTCTCGGCCATTAAGCTATTAATTTCATTTATTCTAATATTCAGTTATAGAATTTCTATTTGGTTCTTAACACTTTTCAATTCTCAGTTGAATTTTTCAGTCTTAATCACATAACCATCCTAAGTATAGTCATTTTAAAAGTTTATACCTGATATTCTAAAGTTTATATCCGATCAAGCTAATATCGGGACATTCTATATGGCTCTCCTATCCCTACTTTTTGCTTCGGCTGGCTCTTATTGATAATTTCTATATGTTTTGAGTGTCTGAATATTTTAAATTGTGTTAGAGGTTTTATCTGAAATTTTTTTCATATAAATAATATGAAGTTTAGGTATTACAGTCTCAAAGAAAGATGTTTGCTTCTTATAGATACATAGGCGGCACTAGTAATCAAAAATCACTATAATCCAAATTTAAAAGTAAAAGTGATTTGGCTAAGACAGTCCCTTGGATAGTAAGTCATTTTCTAGCTCATGTTTATAAATCTCTTTAAGATTCTTTTTCCAAAAACCATTATAAGCAGCTTTTCTCGTTGTCCTCCATGAAAAGGTAGTTCAATTTACCTGTCATGAACCCTATCGCTACTACTTACCCCTGTGTGCTTTTCCTTCATCCCATCTCTTCTCTTTTCTCTTACTTGGTATATTTATTAATTCCATATCAATTTGCATACTAGCACATCTTCAACTATGTTGTTCAGTCCCTTCCAAAGTGGTAATATTCACATTTGTGAATAGTTAAAATGGTTCATTTTTAAAAAATTTAATGGGTATGAGTTGTATGGAATTTTGGTTTCTTTTGTCATTTTCCTAATAAAGTGTAACCTTCAATTTTTCCCCCCAAAAGTTTATCATCCACTGGATTTACATTGCTATGAAACACCTATTTTTTTTAAAACTGGGATCTTTTGTACTGATTTGCTTTAAACAAACCAACAAAACAAAAAACCAAAGATTCTAACACTTTGTACATTATATGCATTCCATATCTATTTCTTCTGGAATGCGCCTTTAATATTTTTATAACATATTTTGCTTCATCTAAGACTGTTCCCCAATTGTAATTCATTTCATAAAATCATCTGCGTTAGTTTCAATCCTACAAACATGAGTAATGGAAAGTTCAGCTCTGCACTAGCTGGTCTTCGTGCAAAGCTTTGGGACTCATCAATCAGAAGGCTTGATGAGGACGAGATACTCGCTTAAAACGGGCAATGCCGAGCCGCGTGAAAGGATACAGCAATCACGTCAATGGCAGTTCTACACGCATCTTCTCCCAGTTTCTGGGCTTCAGTCACGGTTTATCTGAGGTTTTGTTGGTTTTCCCTCTCTTGGCTCTTCTTTGAGGTCTTTCAGACCATTTCTAAAATGCTTGATCCACCTAAAATGTGTTATGTGAGGCAATATTCAGTAACTCTGTTGCAAAGCTTCAGTGATTTTGTAAGATGTCCCCTTGACATTAGTGGTGACCTAAAAATTATTTTCCCCCCACTGCATAAAGAGTATCCTTTTTTTGGGGGTGCATTCTAAGGGCATTAAGATGTGAATTCTTGGAAGAATTTGTCTGTTCCCACCCACTGGTCACAGAAATTGGTTTAAACACTTTAAGCCATTTTTAAAGTTTGTACCTGACAAAACCAACATCTGACTTTATCTTGAAGAAATGCATGTATTTGGTAAACAGGCGGCCATCTACCTCAGAAGTCACAAAATGCACATGGAAGAAGAAGCACACCAGCCTGCGTGATCACGAGGTGCCAAAGGGATCACTTATCAGGCATCAAAGAACAAAAAATCATATCATTGTGTGCTCACCTCTGTGATACGATCGCTGAAGACAAATGGGTGCATAAGCAAATGTGGTGAAGAAAGTTGATGGCGCCTGCCTATCAAAAGATATAGCGTCTGGGGTCTTAAAGGCTTGAAGGTAAACAAGCAACTATCTAGCTGAGAAGCAACGAAGCCCACATGGAAGAAGCACACCAGCCTGTGTGATCATGAGGTGATGAAGGGATCAGGTATCAGGCATCAAACAACAAAAAAATCAAATCATTGTGAATGAGGGGGAGTGCAGATTGGGGACACAAGACCCATCTGTAGGCAACTGGACATCCCCTTACAGAAGGGTTGCGGGGCAGAGACAAGCCAACCAAGGTGCACTGTAGCAACAATGAAACATACAACTT